ATGTTTTTAAATTGCCATAAAAATAAACTGTTTCTATATTTAAAAAATACTAAAATTGAAGGCCTTTCCTCATTTTATTTACTAACTCATTTTCCTTTGCTTATAGTAGAGTTACTGACTCTTAAATATTTGAGAAAAATTATTATTTCTAATCGTTTAAATCAATTCAGGCTATTTATAAGTTATGTTAATTTTTTTCTAATACTGAGTCTTCATTTTATTTCTTTTTCTTACCTGAAGCCTGGCTTGCACTTCCAAAATAGTGTTAAGTGATAGAGGTGCAGTGGTGTGTCTGTGCTGTTCCTAACTTTAATGAAACCATACTTCGTGCTTCTCCAGAAACTGATACTGGTATTTACCTTTAGCTATATCCAAATATGTAAGTCAAGTTAAGGAAGCAATTCACATTTAATGATAGTTACACATTTAATAACATGAACTTGTACTTTTCAGATGTCTGTATTTCTTTTTCTATCTCTGCTCTAGAAAGTTTGAATCATTTCAGATGTTTCTGTTTCTGTCATTTTGAAAGACTTCACCTATGTATTCATCCATTTGTTTGGCTTTAGGGAAAATAAATATTTTTATTTGTCTATTTTGTGCCAACCTCCTTACCTCTAATTTCTAAGAAGTCTATATTTAGACCCAGCTGTAGGGAAAGAGTGAAGAAGCTTTCGCTTTGAGAGGGCTTCATTTAATTTTAAAGTTCTCTTGTATCAGGGTCATTGGATAAATTCATGTCAAAATTTATGATGATGGTCAGGTAAATATATCCATCTGGAAATGTTTAAGATTTCTAAGTTGGGGTCTTTTATTCAGGTATTTGCTCCTCATCTTATTCACTAAGAACATTTTTGTCTTTCATACCACTGTCAAAGACAATAGTGTTTTCTCCAATAGTGACATAGGTAGACTTTGAACAAAGTCTTAGGACAGGTAAAAAGCCTATCAAATTGACTCTGTACACCAGCAAAGAGTGACACTTGTGTTTCTGATGACAGAGGGACAAAGAATCCTGTTCAGAACCTATTCAATACCTTGGATTCATTCCCTAGGAATATGCATAAACACATTCATATAACACCAGGATTTCATAGATAGCTCAACAGAAGACCTTGGCTCTTTAAAAAAATCAAGTTTCCATTAATAATTTGTTTTAAATTATTGTCTAGTGTGGTTTCAGTGGAAAATTCAACTTGAGGACGTGTAGCATTAGAGATTGGTGCTTTGCTCAATCTCTCTGCCATGGGATTTTTTTTTACCATCACAGGGTGGCAGTGTATGGAGGAGGACCACCTGAGTAGCTCTCCTTGAAAGAATAGCAACTGCCTCCATTTTGACTGAGCCCGACCCTATTTCCTTGTATTGACATGTACAGAGCTGGCTAGGACTTCTGTTTATCCTTTCAGTTGGCTTTAAGCAATGTGTATTGCTCTAGCTGAGGTGCTGGTGATAGTCTTTGAAGGTTACATTCGTGTTTCCCTGGTCACCAACACCTGCTGCTCCTTAATGTGAGCCAGATCGTGACAGGATGAAGAGCCAATGCTATGCTGCCAGCTGAGATTGAGCCTTAAGACAGAGGCTATGACTTCCTGGGCCTTGAAAGACTACATCAAAGCTGAAGCACCAGACCCCCCAAAACATGAGATATTATCTCAATAGCATAATGCAGATTACTTTCTCTGCATATCCTCTCTGCATATGGCAGAGGTAAATGTAGGCCACCCACCTAGCTCAGCTCATAGTACTCATCTACTTCCCAAAATTCTCAGTCATTTCTCCTCAAGCCACTCTTCCTCTGAATAAAACTGGGTGAGGCCCTGGGTTAGCCTCTTTGTTCCAGAAAGCTATCTTTGTGGCTGGATTTAGGGCCCCTTGGCTCCCCAATAATTATAAATATGTTTTAGTGTCTTTATTTTTGCTGTGGGTTGCATTGGGAGTGGTAGACTGGGATTAACTTGGTGTGAGTCCAATAACATATCTTTGGGATTACAAATATTAACTTCTTAGACTGAGATAAAAACCAGGAAGGGACTCCTACAGCAGTGAGCACCAAAGATCATTGTCCCTGATCACATAGATTTTAGAATTAGACCTTCACATGGTTGGTAATTAAAAAAAGAAACAAAAGTTGCCTGTGGGATGTACACTGTCAGCCCCAGTGTCCACTGATGTATACGAGAAGTCATTAAATAGGATGAGGATAAGCACAAGAGCAATATGTCAGAATATCTCAAGATGTTTGAAATGTTAGTACTAGCAACAGAAACATGCACAGAATGATAAAGATGAAATCAGAGGTGGAGTAGAATCCACACAATCTCCTAAACTTTTATGTCAAATAATAGGACCAAAGTACCTTACTTTCACTTTTTAGACATAAGGTAGCCCTTGTTTCTGGTGATGGCAGCCTCTGGAAGCATGAGCTTGCTCATCCTTAATGCAGCCTTGGAAAGCTCATTTCTTGTCTGTTCCAAGACTGTTTTTTGGGGAGCCGCTGTCTTGCCTTATTTTAAGCTCACATTGGACCTCACTGATGATGCTGGTCACACTCCACACTGCTTCAAGAGTCAAGGAAATATCTAGAGCCTCCAATAGGCTGAGTTCAGAGCATCCAAATCTCTAAGGAACTTGCTCTCAATGGCAAGTGAATTCCATGGCTGGCCCACCCCTACTCATGAAAATACACTTGCACATGTGAAGATAAGAATCCTTAAGCTAATCCGTCAGTGTCATCCATGGGAAACCCTTGCATTGATGAGGGAGAGATGTGGCTGGCAAGACAGCCTCTGGAAGTGACTTGCTATGTGGTGGGAAAGGTGAGAGCTGGATACAGAGGGCTTTTCTGCATGGGCTTCATTCCCCTTCTACTGCCTGGTTCCTTCTTTCTTTGTGTGGTATATATTTGATGCCTTCCTGATCATCTATCCAGCTCTGGTTCTCTCAATCACTCTCATGCCTCTGGCCTTAAGTACATGACATTCCAGCCTTAATGACGGACTAACATGTATCAGGACCCTTTTGACTTTGAGAGGTGTACTCTTTTGGGGGTTGTTTGTATACATGGACATGGAAGGGTGCTCAGAATTCTAAGGGTATTCTTCCAGATGTCACACTTAAACTTGTGTCCCATCTAGGAGATGAACTGACAGACAAGACATTTCCATCTACATGGGCATTGTAGGGAGACATGGCAACCATGAAGCATGCATGGCCCTCCTATCTCTCCCTACTCCTCTGTGAGTCCCCTCATAATAAACTCAGTCCTACTGGAGCCCTAAGGATGAAGAAAGCCAAGATTCAGGCTCTGATGTCTGTCTGATTAACATACTGCTTATTATGAAGACTTTCATCAGCATAGCTTCAAGACCACGTTGAGCTGCTTTGTGAGATGGAAAAATGGTATTTCTTAGTCAATGTCTTTTCTCACTCATTCATATTACCTTTCAAATGTTTTCTCCATTCTTATCTCTCTTTTTTTTTTTTTTTTTTGCATTCCAAAGATCTTCCTTTTTTACTTCTACTCACATGACCAAGTTTTCACTTTTTTTTTATTTATTTATTTTTTTTGGTGTGTGTGTGTGGGTGCTGTCTCAACCAATCCTGAGGGCTGGACTGGTGTGGCATGTGGTGCCAAGAATCGAACTTCAGACCACTAAGCTATCTCACTGGCTCCCTCTTCACTGATATTTGCTCAGCCTCTTCAGTTGGTCATTTTAAATTAATGTGAAAAGGAAACAGAACATCACTTCCAAGTAGATTGCAGCTTGCTTCATCTGGGACATTGAGAATGAGGTAAGAAGCACCTTGATAGGGTCAGGCTGCACCATTATTGAGGGAACAGTGGCATCTATTACTCTAAAGCTGAGCAGGGCAATGGAGTAAAAAGCAAAATTGTAATTTAAATCCTGGATTGCCACCTGGTTAGCTGTGCAATCTAAGGTACCTTCCTTGGGCCCTTTAGATATAGTGTCTTTATTTAAATGAAGAAAAGAAGAGAGATTCTGGTCATTCCTATGCCTACCATGTCATACTTCTATGACTTAGATCTATCTATGGCAATAAGTTCTATTCTATTATATATAAGCCTCAAAATGAAAACATAGGAAAATATAAATATTTAAAGTCAAGGAATAAGACAATGAGTTCCAAAGTAATACTGCCTGCTGTTACGGCCTCCTCTATAGAAACATGTGGCTGTCTAAGGAACTCCTGCAGCTTGGCATTTCCCTGACAAGCAAGTGGTACTTCCTTCCCAAGATGTGCTCCTCTTCACTATTTTGAAATGTCGGTTTCTATGTACTCTTAACCCATAAATCAATGTATCTTTGCATATGTGCACAGACACGCATGCAAACACATACACATATGAGCACAAACACAAAATACAAAACAGGGAAGACACATCAAGGTCCAATCTGATGAAAGAGAAAGAGCCAGGACTTACAGGAGCTGCTGAGTTTTTGACCGTGACACTGGGGGTGGTGGCTCGCAGGGCTCCACTCACTCCATGGTAGTATTTGAAGCAGATTTTAGTTTCAGCTGGAAGACAGAAGTAAAATGAGACTGAGAAGTAGGATATAGCTCAGAAAGACATCAAGGCAGAGAAGACATCTGCAGGGACAGCAGCCCATCCCTTCCCCAGCCAGCCAGGCCACACTAGACAGTGACTGTCACTATGTGGCCTCATAAGCAGGCCTGACTTCTTAAAAATATGTTACGAAAACTGTTTTGGCCTTAAGCTTTTTATGACCACCCATCTCACACCATTAGAACTTGCTGCATGCCATGACAAGTCTAGGTACATTGTCGCACACAACCACTCTTGTATAATTTCCTATTATTTAAATCATGACAACTAGTATCTTGAGAATTTTAAGGAAGGTATTGAAATATATAGGTGGGCACATTAACGAGGTGCTGATGAACAACTTCTTAGCATCACAATCTGTTTTCTTCCGACTTGTGTGGATGGTAAACAGCAATGTTGCAGCTTTGGGGATCATACCCATAGTGAATATACTTTAATGAATGCTAAGAAAATTGCAGACATTATTTTCTTAAATATTATAATCAAAGACAATTTTCCATATTTGTAAAATAAGATTGCAATCCTGAGAAACAGGACTGCAAACTGGAGATTCAAAATCCAAACTGCGTTTGGATTTCACCTCTGCTGTGCCTACAACCTGTGGAACAGTGATCCAGTCACCTAACCTCTCTGTACCGCATGTTCCTTATGTGCAAAGCAGAACCAACAATTATATTCACCAAAGAGGGTAAAAGCAAATAAAAAGAGTTCAATTCAGGGCTCAGAGATGTGGTTGGTGGTGACAATGTGGTGACTGAACACTGATGTGACTCCGTTGCTTTTTGACATTTAGTTTTGTCGAGAACATCGGCAGGCAGCCTAAATTTAGGTCATTCAGTGATGACCTGATTTTCCCAATGCACAGTTGATAGGATTCGGTTCTTAAAATTTGAAAATTTACCAGGCTGTGATTTAGTCTTTTGTATTCATTTT